CTTATTAAACTAAAAAAAATCTATTTTTTTTTTAAGACTAAAAATAGCCAAAAACAATCCCAGACCTTTTCTTTCTAAAATTAACTTAAAAAAATCTAAAGTTAAAAGGCACGTGCACAGTGTTATGTGATAAGTGAAGGAGATGGAAACGAAGCGTTAAAAAACCCAAAACGCAATCGAAGAACAAGACAAGCCCTAATCAAGAGTCGAGAGAGAAGATGATGATGAAGAAGTAGTCACTGGTCAGAATCGAAGGTCGGTGGAAGCTTCGTCGTCAGTTATTGCTATGACCAAGAAGTGTGATGTTTATAGATTTGGGGTGGTGGTTCTAGAAACAATAATGGTGTATGTGCTGTTTTCTGACCACACTGCCAAACAGGTACTCAGCTGGAGAACACAGGCAGAATAAATTACGCCCGAACGACCTGTCACAGAAAGATGAGACTCCGGCAGTAGTTCGTCTACCCGGGAGCACTCCGACGATCAAGTCAGTACTTAATTATCTCTCAAAGATAGCAAATGGTGCTTTTATTCACTAATCAGAATACCAAAAGCGTACCTTAGACCCACGAGGGTGCCCTACTTTTATAGCCAGCACTAACCTCATCCCTATAGAAGCCTAGTTTCTCTTGGACTCTGGCCCAATGCTCATCTTGGACTCTCCAATAGACAAAGATAAACTCCCTAAGAGCTTTATCCTTATCCAGGCTGACGTCCTCCCTCAGTTTAGGACTCTTATTCCTTATCTATTCATCTCAGATTCCGGTATTTTCACAGATAACCTCGGCCTAACCGAGATTACCTCAGCGCTATGACCAAGACACGTGGCACCTCGACTGGCACTTTGGTGCCACCTTAGCCATGTGTTGTTATTCAAAAAATATGCCCCACAACTGCCCTTTAGGTTCTATTACCTCGGCATCTTGAGGTGATGGAACTTATATCATTTGACCATATAGCACGTCGGCTAGGCTTGCTCTATCCTTCATTACCGAGGCTATCACACATCGGCTCCATATGACCAAGACTTCCGTGTGTTTTGTCAATGCCTTAGAACCAAGAGCCAAGTTTTTCAAGTTCCCTAACCGAGATCGTTCCCCTAGCCGATGTCTTTGCTTCATTAAATCAAGAACTCCAAGAGTTTCTACACGCATATGAGCTGTCATGCACAGCAACTCATCCGTTTTCGCCACATGTCTCTTCCCTATTGAACCGTACCTAACACGAGCCATCAGGTCGGGTCACTTCTGTGCACGCCACCTAACAGACACGTCGTCCTAGGCACACTAATTGCGATTTTGCAGCCTTTTCGTATTTTGATAAAAAAAACACCTCTCTCTCTCTCTCTCTCTCCGTTTTTTCACCTTTGCATCCTCATTTTTTCCAAGCTTTCAAGTTTTTCTCTCTCTAAAAATCCCCTACCTCCATTGTTTCCTTCTTCGTGCTTTCTGCAACCACTCCGTTCACCTTCTTTGGCGAAGCATTTGCTGTTCTTCTCCGCTCACTGCCACCGTCTGACTCTGGTGTACTTCATACCGGCCTCATTTTCTTCGGTAAGCCACTGTTCCCCTCCTTTCAGTTTTGACTTCGAACTTTGCTGCTTTTGTACACTGCTTTCGTGAATGCATTCACGTTCATGAATATATTTGTTTGTGTTTTGAATTCCATCACTTTGCGTACAAAAGCATGCTTTGTTTGGGGATTTTTATTTGTTCAATCTACTTTTGATTCACGGTCCTTATGCATACATGTCCACTGTTTTCACGTGCCTAGATGTTCTTGATAGTTCATCACTATTCTTAATTTTCTGCTACCTTCTTGAGTCTGAATCATACTTTTTGCCCTGTTTTCTGTGTCTTTTTTTTCCAGATTCTTACCTTCAATTCTTATTTCCATAGTCTTAGGCTTGGGATTTGTTCTAGAAACTTGATCTTTAGGAAAACCGAACCAAAAATCCCTTTGATTTTAAGAAAAATTTACCTCAGTGCTCTCTAGGGATTAGCCGAGGCCCTTGAAACCCATACAAAAACCATTCTCTTTTGAATTCTATCACCTTGCCCCTCTTAGCCAATATCATAGGCATGTTTAGGTGGAGGGTAGACACCCTAGAGAAGCTTGAATACTTTAGGCAAGAGTTCTCAATCTCTGCCGACGTTCATCTTAGATTGGCTGGGGAGGAGGATTCCATTATGCCCAAAGACAATTCCACGCCCTTCCCAGTAGTAGCCTCCATTGAGTGCGGGCTTAGGTCCCCCCTTGACATCCTCTTCCGCCAAGTCCTTCACTACTATAAGCTTAACTCGATGCAATTAGCCATTAATTCTTATCGAGTCATAAACGGTATAATTGCCTTAGCTAGCAAAGAGAACGCCGGGATTACTCTAGCTGACATCTAATATTGTTATACCATGTGTGGCCTGAAGTCAGAAAATGGCTACATTTATTACCTTAAGCCGAGATCCACAGAATACAAACTCATCGCTGACCTCCCAGACTCCAACAAGGGTGCTGGGGACGATTATTTTATCGTCTCGGGCAACTGGGAGTTCCCAGTAGATGAGTTCCCACTAGATGATGACCTTCCCCTCTACCCCTTAAGCCGAACAGTGTTTAGAAAGGGAAATGGTAAGGGCCAAGTGTCACTTTACTTGCTTTCAACTCTTTATTATTTTTGATACTTTTGTATGTTCTAATGTCTGCTTTTTACTTGCAGTCCTTCCTCAACCACCCAAAGACTTGCGCAAAACATTCTTCCCCAGCAAAGACTTCAAGAGGCTGCTGGACTTGCCTGTTAATTAGTGCAAGGCTCCTCTACTGCTGAACTACATCTCGACTTACAAATCCATCCTTCTCGACGTCCCAAAGAAGAGCAAGTCCTCACCTTCTACGACAACTCCCCTAACTACTTTATCACCAAGGCCCGATCAAGCCTCAACATCTAACCCAGCAAAGTAGCCATCGATTTTTGCTCCACAACTGATTCCACCCTCTCAGCGCCAACGCTGACGTCGAGCCCCACTACTTGCCCCCGCCGGTAAAACTCGTAGCCGAGGACGTTGAAGTACTGAGGCATCGGCTTACGATCCAGCCAACTTACTGACTGCACTTCCAGCGATCCACTTCGGCACTAAAGTCACTATCGTTGTTGCCGCCAACGAGATCGGTCAAGAAAAGGCTGTTGTTGGTGACCTTCTAGCCTACATCCCCAATGTTGTCATAGTCCAATCTTCAGCTTCACAGTCCTAGCCCAAATCGAAGCCAAAGAGGTTGAAGAAGGCCCAAGCAAAGGCAACGGTGACTCAGATCGATTCTGAGGACACCTTGCCGATTTCAAAATTGGCCAAGGGCGAGAAGAGTTCCTTCGCCATCGAGAAGAGGCCTGCTGAGGACGACCTCTCTAAATCTACCAAGTCAAAAAATCGAGGTCGGACTCTACAATCACCTCGGGTTCAATTATAGCTGATGACCCTTGGGCCCCATCCATTACGATCGAGGATAAGCCAGTTAGGACTGGCGATAGTGCTGCTGATATTAAGGTCGGCGTTGCCCTCTTAACTGCATTGCTCCTTCCAAATGACCTCAATCGTATGGCCGAGGTCAGCGAATATGAAAATTTCACTCTGACGGTGCAGCATTCTATACTGGTAGACTCCTAACACTTGGTACTCTCCATTCTCTGTTTTCATACTTACTGAATTTACTAACTTTGTTCTTTGCATTTTTTCTAGGCGATCCAGCATGCCCACTCATTTGTGATGCAAGCAGAGGAAATGAAGAAAGAGCTGGTCCATAAGACCAAGGAGGCTGCTAGTTTGCTCAAGTCCCTAAACAAAGCCGATGCCAAGATGAAAGCCTTGATAGATCAGGCCAAAACAGCTAAGAAAGCCCAAGATGAAGCTGAAGAAAAGGCCGGTGCTGCAGAGGCTACTGCTGAGGTTCTCAAGGCGGAGAAAAAAGAGGCCGAAGCAAAAATCATCGAAGCCCAGGCTGAGCTCCTAGCTGCTTTGGCCACAAAAGATGCCGAGATCAAAGCGGCGGACGACAAGGCCTATGCCGAGGGGGTGTAGCAGCGCCCGTGGGGGCCCTCGTGCTACAGTTCGGACTTGATTTGTGTCACGGTTCTTAATCTGAACCAAAGAGTCCAAATCTGGCAAATCGTTTGAGAAAACAGATTTTGTTGAAAAAGTAGTGCCAAACATGGACTGCTTTACCAGATACAGAGTCGCCACCTAAATATTTTTTTTAAAAATGGGAAATTTAGGAAACCCTGACTCGGTGCCGAAGGCCACATGTCCGTCATCACCGGAGTTGTCTCGGCTCGGGAGCTTGGGTACGATCGGGGAAGGTCAGCTATGAGCACCCCCTTTCGCCCGGTCCGAAGACCGGCCTCTACTAACCGTGATATCCAATTTTGAAAACGTTATGTGTTCTTATTCCGCCCCCGCCGGCAGAACTCGTAGCCGAAGACGCTGAAGTACTGAGGCATCAGCTTACGATCCAGCCAACTTACCGACTGCACTTCCAGTGATCCGCTTCAGCACTAAAGTCACTGTCGCTATTGCCGCCAACGAGATGGGTCGAAAAAAAGCTGTTGTTGGTGACCTTCTAGCCTACATCCTCAATGTTGTCATAGTCCAATCTTCAGCTTCACAATCCTAGCCCAAATCGAAGCCAAAGAGGTTGAAGAAGGCCCAGGCAAAGGCGACGGTGACTCAGATCGATTCTGAGGACACCTTGCCGATTTCAAAATTGGCCAAGGGCGAGAAGAGTTCCTTCGCCATTGAGAAGAGGCCTGCTGAGGACGACCTCTCTAAATCTACCAAGTCAAAAAATGGAGGTCGGACTCTACAACCACCTCGGGTTCAATTATAGCTGATGACCCTTGGGCCCCATCTATTACGATCGAGGATAAGCTAGTTAGGACTGGCGATAGTGCTGCTGATATTAAGGTCCGCGTTGCCCTCTTAACTGCATTGTTCCTTCCAAATGACCTCAATTGTATGGCTGAGGTCAGTGAATATGAAAATTTCACTCTGACGGTGCAGCATTCTGTACTGGTAAACTCCTAACACTTGGTACTCTCCATTCTCTGTTTTCATACTTATTGAATTTACTAACTTTGTTCTTTGCATTTCTTCTAGGCGATCCAGCATGCCTACTCATTTGCGATGCAAGCAGAGGAAATGAAGAAGGAGCTGGTCCATAAGACCAAGGAGGCTGCTGGTTTGCTCAAGTCCCTAAACAAAGCCGAGGCCAAGATGAAAGCCTTGATAGATCAGGCCAAAACAGCTAAGCAAGCCCAAGATGAAGCTGAAGAAAAGGCCGGTGCTGCAGAGGCTACTGCTGAGGTTCTCAAAGCGGAGAAAAAAGAGGCCGAAGCAAAAACCGCCAAAGCCCAGGCTGAGCTCCGAGCTACTTTGGCCACAAAAGACGCCGAGATCAAAGCAGAAGACGACAAGGCCTATGCCAAGGGGGTAGCAGACGTCCTCGAAGAATACAAGAAACAAGTCAGATAGGCATGCAACAAGGGTTACACCTTTGGTTGGATGGCTACTCTAAAGGAGTTGGCTGTCCCCGAGGACTCCCCGCTTAAAGACGAAGACCGACTTGCACTGCCATTCCCTCTCGCTTCAAGCTAATCTGAGACTAAGGCAGGGGGGAAGAAGAAGACGATGAGGCCGAAGTGGCTGATAATGAAGTTCCTGCTGGGGCCAAGTCCCTAACTCTGAATGAGCAAGTCCTAGACTTGACTCAGGATGAGGAGGACGAGGTCTCAAAAGGTGCACCTCCCAAGAAGACAACATCCGAGGTGCCAATTGCTGAGAAGAGCCTTAATCAGACTCTACAAGAGATTGACGCCAAGCTTGAGGCTGAGAAGGCTGCCGAGAAGATTTTCCAGTTATCTTTTGGGGCCGTGACACAGCCTGCCACCGATGCCGAATAGTCTAACTATAAGCTTTTCCTTTGTACTTAGTACTTTTCTGAACAATGTTTTTAGTTTTTATATTTGGCTGACATGCCACTTTTGTAATCTGGACAAGTAATCCCTCTGTAGGCCGAAGTGCCCTTTTTCTTCTTTTGAATGCAAGTACAACTTCTTCTTTCAAGTGTTTGTATGTTTGTATGCTTTACTGTTTCCATACTTAGAATATTTTTCATGCCTTCAATTTTATTCTTTTAGTTGTGCAGTCTCCTTGGAGTAAAATACCTCGGACATAACTTCCAACTTATTTATCTCGGCCTTACCTTAACACTTAAAAACATTTGTAAAAAATATTTCACAGGTGTTATCTAAAACTTGCCACTTTACTTATTGTCTTCTATCAAGACTTCAGTCTTCCATATTTTCCAAGTTTTGGCAACTGTGGGGGCCGAATATTGGGAGTCGTAAAGAGGCCGAGTAATTGGACCCGGAGAGTCGAAATATATACATCGCATTCGGCCCCGTCTTGCACATTTAAATCCTTCCCTATTTGGTCGAATAGCTGATTCAGTAAGGGGCCGAGTGAAAAGCGGTTTGCAACAAAAGGAGTCGAATAAATAGTTATACGGCAAATTGAAAGTGGGCCCAGCCCCGAGGCCCAAGAAAGAAAAGATATAAATAGAAGAACATTAGCCAGAAAGAGGTATGTGAGAATTAGTACGCTTAACTTAAAATACAAGTAACTAAGAGAGTATACATTGACTTAACCGTCGGAGTGCTAATTCTAACACCCCCGACCGGAGTGTTTGTTTCTTTTCAGGTCGTCCAGGTCATCATCTGAGGATCTCGAGTGTCCCAGTGGATCAAAAGAGTATTTCCAATCCACTTCCCATAATTGGCGCCGTTTGTGGAAATACTCAACTACATCCATGGCGGGCGCAACGGAAGATCCTCTGATAATCGCTGATGAAACTACACCGAGAGATGATCTCACCCCAACAAGCATGCTAGGACCAGAAACTATCACCGCAAAACGCGCCTTGAACTTCGACTTACCCTCGACTTCAGCACATGAGACAATGCATGCGATCATGGAACAAGCAAAGCAAAACGAACAGAGGTTGGAGAACATGATCACTGAGAATGAACATCTTCGTCAGGATTTGATCTTGAAAGTGGCGAAGTCCAAACAAGTTGTACGCCAAGGTCTGGAATGACCTCTGAGGGCAGGTGGTCGACGACCTCGAGCCCGACAACAAGACACTGACAGTGACTCTGACTCATTATCCCCGAAGCCTAAAAAGAATGGACTACCCAAAATTACCAGTTCCTCTGAAAAGAGTCCACGTATAAGGCATAAGCGAAGACGAAATGGTTCAAACGAAAAAGACCCGCACGATCCCTTTGTGCAACGGATCGCAAAGGCAGTACTACCTAAGAAGTTCAAAGCCCCGTCGTTCACCTTGTACAACGAAAAATCAGATCCCACGAATCATATCCGTCACTACAAGCAAGCCATGACGTTGCATGCAGACGACGAAGCTCTCATGTGCAGAATATTTCCGAGCAGTTTGGGACCGTTGGTCGTCAAATGGTATTATAAGTTAGAGCCGGCGTCGATTAAGAGTTTCCATCAACTACAAAAATCCTTAAGGGCAAGATTTATCACCAATGAGGTCCAGCCGAAGCAAGCTGACTCTCTCTGGGCAATACAGATCCAGCCGGGAGAAACCTTACGAGCGTATTCGGCGTGCTATTGGGAATGCTTTAATCTTGTTGATGACGCTTGCAACGACTCCATGGCCATTACCGCATTTAAAATGGGTTTGCATTTTTATAGTGCTCTCCGCAGCTCCTTGACAAGAAGACCCCCCAAAATAGTCTGGTCGTTGATGAAGAAAGTTGAGGAGTACTGCAAAGTGGAAGATGACGCCTTGCGGGTTAAAGCCAGAAACATGGCTAACAAGACGGTCCCTTCTGAAATTGCTCAGCCGTTAAATTTCGTACCACCTCAGAGCCCTGAACCACGGCATTGGGCTAAACGAGACAAGAGACGAGTTTCTCGCCGATCAAGCGACCAATGCCCCCACTGAGCAAATGAACAACTGCAAGTCGATGGCAGGCGCACAAGGCGTGCAGACAAGAAATACACAGAGTTGTCAGAGCCGATCAGTGCGGTTATTTCCAAAGTCCAACACCTTCTATTCTTCAAATGGCCGTCTAAAATGGTGGGACCTCCCGACACGAGAAGACAGGATAGGCGGTGCGAGTGTCACAAGGATCATGGCCATGACATCGAGAGTTGTTATGCGTTGAAGGATCACCTGGAGGAATTGGTACGAGATGGTCGGCTACAACAGTACGTCCAAAAAGGCAACCCAACCAAAGCAATAGCCCTAAGACAGGATTCGCCTCAACTCGGCGTGATCCACATGATATACAGCCTACCAATATCATCCGCGGTGCATACGATTCAGTCGAATCCCAACCCTCAAAATCAACTCACTCCGGCTAAGCGGCCCCATGAAGCTGCAAGCATTGCTTTCGATGATTCAGATTTGACCGGAGTAACACTTCCCCACATCGATCCCTTGGTAATCGATTTATGCGTAAATTGATTCACCGTTGAGCGCGTACTCATTGATCTAGGGAGCACATCAGAAGTTATGTATTGCAAGACATTCACCAAACTCGGCTTCTCCGAATCGGATCTTTCTCCAGCTCCTTATCCACTTTTCAGCTTCAACGCCAATCTAGAATACCCGTTGGGGAAAATCACACTACCTGTTCAAGCGGGTTCTCAAACAGTGGATGTGGAATTCTTGGTCGTCAAACTGCCATCGCCGTATAATCTCATCATGTGGTGAACTTGGTTGCATACTATGCAGGCCGTGCCAAGCACCTATCATCAGCTGATACGCTTTCCGACAGAACGCGACATTGAGCAAATCCGTGGCTCCCAGAAATCGGCACAAGCATGTTATCTCCTTGCTAGAAAGACGCCAAAAGAGTTGCAAGTGAATTCTATTGAGGTGCCGAATCGAGAGAGCCTCGACGACGTTGGGCAGCTCCCAAGTGAAAAGGCCACGGAAGCCCTAGATCGAGTTGAAATTGACGGAAACCCAGACAGGTTCTTCATGGTCGGCGCCTCCCTGAATCAAGCCGACAGATAGCAGCTAATTTCCTTCCTGCTCGGCAACTTTGATGTATTCGCGTGAAATCCATATGAGATGCCGGGTATAGATCTGTCTATTTTGCAGCACCATTTAAATGTTGACCCTAAATGCAAGCCGATTATTCAGAAAAGCCGGTGGTCAACCGCAGAGCACACTGCCGCCGTTGTTGAAGAGGTTGACCGATTGCTTGACGCCGGGGCAATCAGGGAAGTGACCTACCCTACATGGCTCTCGAATACTATGGTTGTGAAGAAAAAAAATGGAACTTGGCGAGTCTGCGTTGATTTCACGGACCTAAACAAAGCCTGCCCCAAGGATTATTTTTCCCTCCCCAGAATAGATTAACTTGTAGATGCGACGGCATGCCATCAGCATATGAGCTTCCTCGATGCTTACAGAGGCTACCATCAAATTGCCATGCATCCGAAGGACCAAGACAAAACTGCATTCCTCACCCCAAGAGGAACCTATTGCTATAAGGTTATGCCTTTTGGGCTGAAGAATGCAGGGGCAACCTACCAAAGACTAGTCACTGCCATGTTCAAGCAGCAACTCGGCCACACTATGGAAGTGTACATTGACGATATGGTGGTCAAGTCCCAAGAAGAGCAAACTCATTTAGCCGATCTGGAAGAGACATTCGGCATTTTACGCAAATACAAAATGAAGCTGAACGCTTCCAAATATGCATTTGGGATCGGCTCTGGCAAATTCTTGGGTTACATTGTCAACCACCGAGGAATCGAAGCCAACTTGAGGCAAATCACAGCAATCTTGGAGCTCGGCTCCCCTCGTTCAGTGAAAAAGGTTCAAAAGTTGATGGGGATGGCCGCCGCACTCAACAGGTTCATCAGTCGGTCCACAGACCGCTGCCGACAATTCTTTCATACACTACGACAGGGCAAGGCTTTTGAATGGACCGCCGAGTGCGAAGCCGTTTTCAACGGCCTGAAGACCTACCTCCAATCAGTTACACTCTTGACAACACCTTCGGCAGGTGACCCCCTCATCTTGTATCTGGCAGTTTCTGACCGGGTCGTCAGTGCCGTACTGATAAAGGAAGAGCCGGGGGAGCAGCGGTCAGTGTATTATGTGAGCAAGGCAATGGTTGACACCAAAAAACGCTGTCTTCCATTGGAAAAACTCATTCTGGCCTTCGTCATGGCAGCGAGAAAGCTGATGCATTACTTTCAGGGGCATACCATCGGGGTATTAACGGACCACCCCCTCCCGTCGGTACTCTGTAGTGCAGAAGCATCAGGGCGCGTTTCAAAGTGGGTTCTTGAACTCGGCCAGTACGATATTCAGTTTCTGCCTAGAACCTCAATCAAGGGACATGTGCTTGCCGACTTTGTAGCCGAATTCACTGGGGGTCTTGCCAACTTCAAGTCCGATGAAATCTAACCTAAACCGAACTAGAGAATTTATGTTGGGGACATTTGGTAGCTGTGCTGTGATGGATTGTCCAATCAACGAGGCAGCGGGGCCGAAGTAGTGATAATGGCTCCCGACGGGGCAATAATTGAGCAGGCTGTCAAACTCGGCTTTGAAGCAATAAATAATGAGGCTGAATACGAGGCCCTGTTAATCGACTTGCGGAATGCACATCTCCTAGGTGCTCGGCGTCAGCTTATATTTTGCGATTCAAAATTGGTGACCAATCAGCTAAAGGGGGAGTACGCAGCAAAAAGCGACCGTATGGCCGCTTACATGAAAACGGCAAATTCCTTGCTGGCAAAATTCGACCATCATGAATTGAACCAAATAACCCGTGACCAGAACACACATGCAGATGCCCTGGCTTGCCTAGCCTCCGCCATTAACTTAGAGGACCATGGAAGTTGG